TGCTCCCCACTCTGTTCCTGGTGAATCCTCTCACCCTCCGCATCTCTGGCCTGTACCCCAGTTCTGTATGAATAAATAAATAAATCTTTTTAAAAAAAGCAACTTCTTTTAAAAGGTTTCCTTCTCTAACTATGTTCCTTGATGATAAGAAAATCTAGTAAATTCAGTAAGGGTAGGGAAAAATAAAAATCTTGCAGAGCCCATCATTAGAAGATGAAGGATGTGCTATTCTGGTGCACACCCTCCCAGGCACGCACGTTTGTGTCTGGCGTGTGGAGAGGCGCCCTCCCATGCGTGCGCCTCCTACTCGGGTCTCTGCTCTGCTTTTCCCAGCACGTTAAGGTTTTTTCTAAATCTTAATTCTTAACAATTGTAAAAACTTTCTATTGTGTCTGATGACATCTATTTGATCATTCTGCTTTATTACTATTTAGGATACATTTTTTTTGGCATATAAATAAACTTTCAAAGAACACTTCTGCAAAAATCTTGGACTGCATTTCCTTAAGGACACAATCCTAGAAATGCATATGCTAGAATATATAGTACTGCTGAACAGTTATCTACAAAGCTCTTTTCCAGAAAAGTTCAACCAGAAGACCAAGGAGCTCATTAACTACTTCCCAGAAGAATACAACCATTCAAAAATAATTATAGTGGTACCTAATACAAATGAGAGTTTTGTCTTTGCTTAAACTTACAACTTTTATCCACTTTACAACTGGTATCTTTTAGATAACTACCCAATCACATTTATATCCATATATGTAATATATATGCATATTTTAATCTATACATATAGTTATAAAATGTACAACTTGCTCTATAGACTTTCCCTACTTTTGGCCTTTTATAATATAGTTTATTTCAGACATTTTAAACCTGTATTTAATCAAATCTATCAAAGTTTTCCTTTGTAGTTTGGTCCGTTTTATGTTTACAAAGTCTTTTCCAAATCACAAATCAGACCCACCTACTGTTTCATTTTCTATTTGACTACAATCCATCCGAAATTTATTGTTATATGCTTAAAAAAACTGATTTTTTAACAAAAATGGCTGGATAACATTTACTCAAATATTCATCCTTTCCTCATTGATATTGTGATTACTAAAACTTAAGAATTCAACTTACTAGCCTTAGGTATTTTAATATGACACAAAAGAGCATGAAGAAACTCATACAAAATACAATGAACTTAAATCAAAATAGCATGAACTTAATATACAATAATATACAATATATTATTGTACAATATACAATATTAAATAACAAAAGAAGATTGTGTGACACTAGACACCAATTTTATAGTAACGCAAAATAAAGTATTTAAAAGTATTACTATTGTGTCTCCTTTCAAAGGGGTAGTTATTGATCTTTACCAAAAAAATCCTTAACTACAAAGTTCTTTAAATAGCAGGTCAGGTGGATATAAAATGCAATTTGATGTACAAAAACTCATTTCCTTTGCAATATATCAAGGAAAGATCTGTTTTATAAAACAGATAGTTACAGAGAAATTTTAAAAATTTCTTATGCCAAAACTTTCTCTTTATAATGCAAGTAATTAATTTTGCAAATAATATTATTTGATGTTTTTAAATTGCTCTCCATTTTTGGTTAAAAATGTAGTTTCCGATTTCCCACCCCCAAAATAAAACAATCGCATTTCCATTCATTTTGATATACCTACATCTCCCTCTTGTGGTTGAAGTCAACTGCATAAACAATTTCTTCTTCTCCATCTTTGACAATTTTCCATATTGTTCCACCTATCATATGACCAGCTGGCAGAGGTGTGATAGACAAGCCATGTCCTTTACCTATGTCAACAAAATGATGACGAACACTCAGATTTAGTAGCCATAAAGACGTAACTGATTAGTAAGCCGCTTTTCAATAACCAATATGGGCAATGAGACAGAAGTCAACGTGAAAAGGCGCAGAGTGAAATGTTAGTCTCAGCCTCGCACCCCGCCAATCCACTCCCCAGAGGTAACCCACCCCCCGTCATTTCATTACGCACTCTTGCAGACATGCTGGTGCTTACAAATAGAAAGCTAGATGTTAGATTAAAAAATAGCAGGCTAGCAAATAGACGTTATTCATTTGCATAATTAGAAAAGAACTTAAAAAAAAGCAGGCTAGCAAATGACTTCATATAAACTAACAAATTTTAATATTCATATTGTGCACACAATTATCAAGATCTCCACTTTTGCTAACCTCTAACAAAAACACTGACAACTCATTATGAAAAAGACCTTATTCTACAGGAAAATTAAGTGTAAGCAAAACTACTGAGACCATTGTTATTTTCTGACTATATGTTCAGAGTTCATTGTTGCAGTTTTTTTTTCAGTCCTAGGATTCATAATTATGAAACCTTTAATAGAACTCTCTGAAACTATACACTTAATATATGACTTCCCGACCTAATTAAGTAAGAAATTTCTAAATTTCTAGAAATCAGTGATTCTATTTCATACTTCATTTACTTACATCACTATATTTAATCAACCTAACATACTTGATGGTCTCATCTGAGTTCCCAGAAGGAGGATCTGATTACTTCACCTTTGTGCATTAAATAGATAAACACAAATATGTCTCTCCCAAGTTAAATGTGAAAAGGCCTGAGCTGTTAACATTTTGATAGTATCTGACAGTATTTAGTATTTGAATTTTAAAATTCAAGTGACCGGGGGAAGTTCAGAGTTCTGTATCAGAAAATGCTAATTTTTGTTTTATTTCAGACCACAGTGCCTGTAATTACTGTAAATTTCCCTTCTACTTTTCTGTAGGTAAAAGCACATTAGTTCAGTTATTTATCAATGAGTAGCACTTTTTACCTTTCAGATTCACAATCTGCGAGAACTTCAGCTGCTGTATTTTGTCAAAGGCCGCATCCACATCATCTAAGGTAAAGAGTGTAAAATCTTCTGTATTGTGTCGAGACTAGAAGAACAACACAAACTGAACGTTAAAAATGATCACCGCGGCCCTCCCTGGTGGCGCGGCGGGTTAAAGCACTGCACTAAGAAGCTAAAGCCACTTCCGCATGAGTTCAATTCCCGCCTGCCCCGGAGGAGACCACATAGCGTGGCAGACCTCTCCTGGCCCGCCCGCTGCTCCCCTCAGCAGTGTAACTTCATTGATCTGCCTGTTCTGCTCCCCGCTCTCTCTCTGGCGAATCCTCTCACCCTCCGCATCTCTGGCCTGTACCCCAGTTCTGTATGAATAAATAAATCAATCTTACAAAAAAAAAAAATGATCACCGCAAGAGTGGCAATTTTTTTTTCATACCATAAATTACCTGATACAGATCATACATGAACATCTGTCCCATTTTGTAAACAGGAATGGTGGCATAGATGGCACAATTCAGACCCAGCTTTCCCACAGCGTACGGGAGGGCGCCGAGATGAAGAGGGTCGGGGTGAGACAGCAGCACTGCATCAATCTGGTGAACGTGCCTGGGTGGACATGGTGTGGTAAGGACTCAAACCTCCCTGGAAGGGTAAAGACAGGCTACTCAAAAATAACCTGCCAGTTCTGACCCCTCTAGGTATTCTGGATTGAAGACTATGTGCTGCAGTAAGGAGCAACCTAAGAGTTACAATGATGACAACTATGAATTGCAACTATTACTACCTCTGTTCTACATGGATAGCAAAATTACCATGTAAATTACACAGAGATGGCAGCTAGGCAATCTGAAAGAAAGGAAATGAGAAAATGCAGAAGCCACATGGAAACTGGCTTCAAATGGCTATGTTAAGTTCAAGAACTCAGCTTGGAATTTCAGAAAGTATTAAGAAGAAGTTATTTAAATGATCACATATTTACTATAGGTATTGACTTCAGATTTTTAGCATGTGACTGACATTGTAGTGTGACTTTAATTCATCAGTGACGCATCCTTTTACATCACACAGTCATTATCCTGAGCACCCATCCTTGTGGAACATCAACTGCTGAAGCAAGCTCACCTCACACAAAAAAGGCTTTTCCCCTCTCCAATTTCTTGTAACGGTAAGCTCGCTCTAGGCCTCTCTGGTGGTGCAAGGGGTTAAGTCTTAGCACTATGCTGCAGCCACTACAGCACAAGTTTGATTCCTGGCCAGGGAGCTGACCCACATGGCGCAGCAGACCTCCTGTCCTACCCGCTGCTCCCCTCAGGCAGGGTATTTTGGTAGATTGGCCTGATTTTGCTCCCCACTCTGTCTCTGGTGAATCCTCTCACTCCCCATCATACACCTCTGACCTGTACCCCAGTTCTTCTACACAAAAATAAATTTAAAAAAACAAAACAACATAATCTTGCTCCTTCCTAAAATTATAGTACAAAAAATTCTACTAAGATCCATTAGCCAAATAACAGTTAACACTTTGCTAAGTTTCAATAAACAAAGTTTACAAATCAATCAGAACTTTACAAGTAAAAACAATCACAATTTGACTCTGGCATAAAGTAAAAATAAGCCTTTTACTATAAACTAATTCACAGCAGAAAACCAAACACTGTGAAACATCAAAACAGTATTACAGAGTAGAAAAGAGAAGATGATATACAAAAAGCCCACAAATATGAAAAGTAACTTACTTCCTCAGGGAATCTAGAATATCCATAGAAAAGTGCTCATCCCAGCCACAGTCCAATAGAAATCTAAATTCATCGACTTGGAGCAAATAGCACAGTGCAGACTCTTCCTGCACCCCAGACAGGGTGGTTAATTTGATAATAGATGTCATGATTTTTGGTCCAGTAACAGAAATCCAAAAGGTCCTTTTAAGAGAAATAAAAACATAATTAAGCATAAAAGCACAGTCTAGTATATATAATGGACAAACTAAAATTTTATCAATTTGTAAGTAGACAGAAATTTCATTAATATGCAAAGTAAATGTTTTAGAGAGCACCATGATTACTAAGTTAAAAGTACAAACAGAACCTTATCCACTCCCGTTTATGAGACATCCCTCCACAGCCCCTCACTGTGGTTTAAAGAAAATAGTGGCCTTTGGACTCACATCCACGTTTCAAGCTACATCTGAGAGGTGCTTAGCAAGTGTAATTAAGCTTTCCTCACCTAGGTGCCATAGTCTATAAAATATGAGTATTAATAATTCAAAAAGGATTTTGGTCCCCACCCACCCACTCCCCGTGGCACAATGGATTAAAGCACAACACATAAAGCTGGAGGCAGCTGTTTCTGCCCCGAGTTCGATCCTCCACCCTGGAGGTGACCCACATAGCGCAGCAGACCTCTCCTGACTTGCCTGCTGCTCCCCTCAGCAGTGTACTTTGCCTGTTCTGCTCCCCACTCTGTCTCTGGTGAATCCTTTCACCCCCTGTGCCTCTGGCCTGTGCCTTAGTTCTATATGCACAAATTAAAAAAAAAAAAAATTTGGAACATTTCAAATAATGTACAAATCACCTACAACAGAGACTCCCACGCTCCTCCATAAGTATATACTAAATTAATGAACTCATCCTTCAAGGTAAATTTGTTCCTCCTTTGTTGTGTTCTATGATGGAGCGATTACACTGCCATTACAATTAGTTTAAATGTGTCTCTATTAGACCAATGGTCCTCAAATAAAGAATCCAATAACAAGCTACCAGCCCTTTCTTCCTTCCCCATCCTCAAAAAAATAATAATAATAATAAAAAAGCATATATACACATAAAAACTCATGTATTTAATGTCAATAAAACCTTGCACAGGAATGTGAGCAACTGAAAAATGGTGGCAATATCTTGTTTACTAATGAGAATGTGACACAAAGTAGATGCTCAATGTATATTTGAAGGAATGTACATTGAGATATTTATGACATATATTTCAAGAAGATATATGAACACAACTCTTAGGACCAGCTACAGAAATACTCAATAGCAAAATACAGCTCCACAACATTTCAGATCTTAGCTCCTTAAAATAAATTAGCCTTTCCTAGCTAACTCCGCAAGTAAGAAGTCACTGCCCACTTGGTGCTCTCTCACCAACTGTCCATGGTCATGTCACCAAGCCAAAGCCAACTGACAGCCCACCTTGCAAAAGAGGCTATCAAGGGACTAATCTATCTCCTGATTCCTTGTTCTCCTGTCAAGTCAAAGATCTCCTCGGTCACCCATCATCACAAGATGGACGTGTCCTAGCTGTACCCAACCCCCTACTTCTTCCCTTCCAACTGTATCATTATACACTTTGCTATATCCTCACCTGTAACTTCTACTGCTTCCCAAATGGTCTCGTCACCTGCTTATCCTCAGAGAAACTGGCTGTTCTTCATGACACTGTTTCTCTTGCAGCCTTCCCAAGGGATTTTCCCCCTCTTATGCCCACGGTACCTCAAAAGCAGAAAGCATGTCTTCCCATTCCTCACTGCAGCCTCTAAACCATGTCTTCTGCCTCCCACAAAGACTCCAGTCCCATTAAAGCCCACATGACTTGCTAGCTCACCAGAGACCTTCCCTGCCTCGGATACACCCTATGTCATCATTCTATTTATCTCAAAATACTTAGTCTCTCTATATACATGCTGGTTACCATTTACTTTATTTATCCATCCCTCCTCTCCTCCTAAAGCACATGCTAGAACATGACTCCATGAAAGCAGAGACCATCTTTGATCACAGTTATACTCAATACCCAGACAGCCCTAATGCAGAGAGGTGGTCAACAGTGCTTCCTGAATGCATAGTCTGGCTGTTTTCAATGTGCTCACTGCCCTGACTATTCTATGAATGGTGAGTTATTTACATGCACATTCTCTTGCTTGGGAGAACTCATCCGTGCAGGACTAGGCTTGACCGATTTTTGTATCACTACTATATTAGCACAGTGGCTGGTCATTGATTATTAAAACAAGTAAGTTAAAAATTGACTTAGTCTGTTCCTAACTGTAAGATATAGATACTAAGATATTATTTCCTCGTGGTAAAAAATATTTATAAATATAAGTTTAGAAGACCCAAGAAATTCTCCCTACCAAAAATACCATTACCACTGCCCTATCATCAGTATAAGGATGTCTACAGGAAACTTTCTAGTCAAAGCTACCTTTTTTTTTTTTTTAACATTTCAAAAGAACAGGTTGTTAGAACATGAGAAAAAAACAGGCACCTGCATAGTCACAGGTGGACAGGGAGCTGCTGCTCCTGTTTCACAAAGCAACTTTAAACACCTGCAATATCACAGGTGGGCAGAACTGCTCAACCACCTTCGCCCCCACTTTATCTTATGTGCAGTAGAAATGAAAATACAAGTATTTGCAGAGAACCAAAGGAGTTCATTTGGAAACTTTTTGTAGTCAGACCCAGCTTTTAACATGTGGAAAGATATTGTTACCCCAACTGCTCAAACCATTATTATAAGTTATCTCTTTATTAGATGTTCATTACTTACTGATATCTCAGTCGTACACAAGATGAAACACCATGAATTCAAAGGAAGAATTCTTTATAAATCTAAAAAATAAACAAATAAGAGTCTCATAGATATGTATTAAGGACTTACTTCTATTTTTAACTTCGGTGATTAAGTTTTACGTTTTGCCCTAAGATGAACACCAGAAGCAGCAAAAATAATACATGACTCTGTTTTTTAAAAGAAACTTGTCATAAATTTAGGAGGCTTAATCTTAGAGAAAACAGGGATACGGATAATAAGACACATTAAAAAAGAAAAAAATGAATAGTGAAATACTAAATTATTGTCAGAAGCTGAAATATGCAGTCATTAAAAAAGTAGGATCTTAAATTATTAATTAAGGGTTAGTAGGAACTGGGTAGAAAGTATAATGAGGAAAAGTATTTAAAACAGGAAAATAACATGACCAAAGGCACAAACAAAAGGTTACAGATGACCACTGGAAAAGCACACTTTCATATAAACAAAATTAAACAAAAAGAAAAAGGCCTTAGGAGTAGAAACGGCCAAAGACTTTGGAGACCCTGACCTGCGTCTACACATACAGACTAACATTTAAGATCCATCCATCTAAGATGACAAGTAATTCTTTGATAGTTAGGAAAGTTAGCAGGTGTTATGAGTGATTAGATAAAAAAAAAAAAAGTAGCATATTTAGCAATCACTTCTTCCTTACAATTTGGCTGATTCCACTGAGACAATTTATTTAGATTCAAATTTCTTTAGCTACTTTAAAACCGACATGAATTCATGAGTTCTTATGTAAGAAATCAAGGTCTAAAACTCTACATGTCCGATTCCTTCCTTCACTTCTAAAACAGCTACCAACTCCTGATAATTCTCCCTCACAACACCTGATACATCATTCCTCTTCCATTCCCACTGCCAGCAGCTTAATGCAGGCTCTCAAGACTTTAAATTTAGGTCTCCATTTCTGTCTCCAAACTTGTTACCTTCATGTCAACCTAAACAGTGCTGCCAGCTTAATCTTCAGAAATAGTCCTGCATTTAGTGGTATCTCCCGCTCAGAAATCTCTGATGACTTCAGACTTGAAAGAAGCATCTTGTTTGAACAAACTTGAATGCCTTAACTGGCACTGGAAGTAACCAAGAACAAGTGGTTGGTGACACCATTACAATCAAATCTGAGACAGGCACCAGAAAATAGAATAGTGCCAGGCCCTCCCTGGTGGCCAACAGGTTGGGCCACAGCACTGCCAGCCAGACACAGCCACTTCAGTGCAAGTTCGATCTCCTGCCTGGGAGGTGACCTGCGTGGAGCAGCAGCCCTCTCCAGTCTTGCCAGCTCTGCTGCGCCCCACAGTGGTTCTGTTCCCCACTCTCTCTGTTGACTCCTCTCACTGTCCCTATACCTCTGGCCTGTACCTCAGCTCTGTATGCATAAGTAAATATTTTTTTAAAAATCAAAGTAGTATAGTTCCAGCCTGCACTTTAGGAGAGGCCAACACGAAGGTCCAGTGCAAAACATCGACTTCAGTCTAGACTCTGGATCTGTATTAGAATAGTAGCCACTAGCTACCCTAACATCACCATTCATCCTCATCTCAAGATGCAGCCCAAATCCCATCCCCTTACTCTTCATTAATTTAAACAGCTCTGTCCAACAAAAATATAATGCAAGGCACACATGTAATTGAAAAAAATCTTTACAGGTGAAATCAATTTTAATGTATTTTAGTTAAGCCAATATATTTGACATTATCATTTCAACATATAATCATTATTTTTAAATGAATGAGCTATTTTACAATACTTTTCATTTTTAATCTTTGAAATCCAAATATATGTACCTTTACATTGTAAAAAGTTTACCAGAAAGGGAGTGAGCAAAGTGCACTTGTATTGTCACAGGCGGGCAGAGAATTGCCTGAAATGCAACCTCTATTTTATATTTACAGTAGATCTCAACTCAAAGCACAATTTCAAACGCTCCGAGCTACAGGCAGCTCCTGCTGTGCACAGCCTACACTCTGCACTGTGAAGCAGTGCTCTGCGCATACTGCATTGGGCTTGGACACTTCCAAAGCAGAGCTAGCATCTTCTGGCGTTATGTACCTGCCTTAGATCTGCTTTTAATGATATCAATCATTCCATCTCCTTGACTAAAACCCTGAAGTCAGATCTAGGCTGCCATCAACTGAACCCTACTTGATACTTCAGCAATAACATCCTTACCTATCCTACCCCAGCTGAGGGGCTCATTTACCTTACCTGAGTGATTTCAACTTTCTTTCCCCTACTCTTCCTGTTCCAACATGATCTCCACACAGCATACAGCTGTGAGAGAACGTCCTAAAAGCCCTCATACGCCTTCCCAGTAAAAAGTATCCACGGGCTTCCTGCAAACTGCTGAATAAAATCTAAAGCCCTTAGTGGAAAGCAAAATGCTTCACCAAAGACCAGCAAGAAATGACTGAACTGTTATGCCCAGCAGACTTCGTTATACAAATTAACATTCTATGTATTTACTGAGTAACACTAATAAAACTCCACGAGTAAAACAAAACAAAATCCTTCACAAGGTGATCTCAGCTCTCCGTCTGGCTTCACGGCCCCTCGGGCCCCGCCCGCTTGGGCACGTCTATTTCCCCACTCCCCTAAGGCTGTCCTAACTTCTCAGATCTGAATCCCTTTCTGCATTTTGGAACGAGCTTCTCCGCAGCCCGGTGAATTCCTTTCAGGGCTTCATGAACCCAGCCCAAATACTAGTGTATGAAGAAGCCCTGTGGGGTCCTCGGGCACTACTATTCATGTTTATAAACAACAAAAAGTAGGCTCAAGGAATATTCGTGGACTGCACGAATACTGCGGCATGTACAGACCCAGAGCCCAGTGAACCTGCATTTTTCCCCAAAGCGACTGGAGTGCGAAAGCAAGGAACCCCCACCTTTCAGACATTCCCCCCGGGCAATCATTTTGACTCACACCACCTCTCATCAGCCCTTTCAAAAATGAGGGCGATGACAGCTACGAGGAAGTAGGTAAGATCCAAGGGAAAACAAAACGGCGTCTGGGGCTCCCTGCCGGAGAACCATCTCTTCCTGCTCAGCTCGGGGAGGGCAGCGGTTTCCTAATAGACTCTAAGCTGCTTTTAAAGTAAAGAATTAGAAGATGAGCGATTGAGGACTCGGGTTCGCCTGGTCACAAGAGGCCAGTCCCCCCGGATTATCGCGAATCGGACCTGCGGTTAATTTCAGAGCGTGGAAAATCGAGCGGGGTGGGAGCGCTCGAGGAAGCAGGGGTGAGACTACTTCAAGCCAGCCTGGAGATGTCCCACAGGTCTCCCGCGCGGTAACTACAAAGCCCGCCTACTTTGTGGCCCCTGCCTGGCGGCCCCGTGGTCTTCCAGCCCGAGCACGGGAAGCCCCGAGCGAGGAGGCCGAGGACACGGTGGCCACTAGGCGCCGGAGCCAGAGTGGGGTTAACTCCTCCGGCGCCGAGACGGGCCGACACGGAACGGGCAGGGGGAAACCGCCGGACGGAGGGCAGCAAGGCGTGGGGGTGAGTCGCACGGGCGGCCAGCAAAGACCGGGGGCCTGAGACCCACGAGGAAGGCTCCTCTCTGTCCTCCGCTGAGCACTTCTGCCGGGAAAGACCGGGACGGTCGCCCCCGGGCCACCGAGCGGAGACGCGGCGCGAGCGGGCGCCAGGTCCCCCGGGGGGCCGAGCCGCCCCTCCCCCGTCCACAGGCGCGCTGTTTCCTCGCCCCCACTTGCCTCGTCGGGCCTCCCCCAACGCCGTCCTCTGCCCTTCCCACACCCTAGCGTGGTCCCGGTTCAAGAGCGAGGCGAACCGACGCGCGCTTAGCGGCCGCGGCGACGACCGGCCGGCAGCTGCCCCACACTGGCGGCCGCCATCTTGGGAGCGGAGACGCGCCGCGGGGCGGGGAAGACGCCGGGCGCTACCACCTTCGGGGGTGCGGGCGAGCTGGAGGGGGGCGAGGGCGCGTGCTCCCGCAAGAATCGCCGCCTGAGGCCCATGTTTTATTGACGGAAGTTTCTAATGTGTGAGGTCTCAAATGGACGTAGAGGAAACGCAACGAGAAGAGACATAAGAGGTTTGAGTTCCCGGCGCCACCCCTCTGTTTTGAGGGGGCGCGGCGAATGGCACGTCCCGAGGCGGCCACTTCCGCCGGCGCTGGGAGCGGGACTCGCTGCTGCCCTTGGTCGCTGGGTCGTTGTTGGCTTCGAGGCCGCAGGTGCGTACCGGGCGGAGTGTGGTCGCGGCGCCGCGGGTCGCGGCTGTGCGGGCCGGGAGGGGCCGCCTCGAGGGAAGCCCTCGGCTTTCCTTAGTGCGTGTTTGTGGGGGGTCATCCGGGCCTCCGCGGGTTCGAGGGGTCCTGCTTTCTTTCCCCGAAGGAGACAGGAAAGGACGTGGAAACAGGGATTTCTTTTTTCTTCATGTTTCCCGTCTGGCGGCTTTGGGAAAGGGTCCTCAGGGGCTGTCATCACTGGACGACCCCTGGTCACCTCCCTGGTGGGGCTGGAGAGGAAACCGAGCCGAATCACCCCCTTAGGCCAAGCCAGGCGCCGCGAGCATCTCGGCTTCGTCCAATCCCCGCGGTTCTCTCTGGCTGGTTATTCAGAATCGAAGCTTCTTCGCGCCCTTGTAGATCTCAAGCCCTTTGAGCCGACCACTGCACAGAATACATCTGTAGTTTGTGCCTGGTTTCTAGGAGCATATGTCATCAAGACAGGCTTGCCAGCCAGACCTCTAGGAGTTGTTTCTCCAGCAGTGTTAATTCATAGCTTAAATCACCACTTTTGGAATGTTCAGTCTTTTCCACCATGAATTTGGAGTGACTTACAGAAATACACATCTGACACAGTTTTGTATGTAAAAGCTAAGTGGGGAAAGTTGGGTAGAAGAAAGAGTAATAAGATGAAACCAAAAGTGAGGTTTATCTCTATACTTAATGTAAGAGATAGTGAAGCACAAGTATACATTTTGGGTCAAGGAGACCAGGCTGCCTACTAATTCCACCTATGCCACTTTCTGTGCCCATGTGTGATCAAAGGCAAGTTGATTGACCCTGGATTTCCTCATCTGAAAAAATAGACTTGCCTACTCCACTGAGTGCATAAGGTTGGTGAGCACTTGAATAGTATTTTGATGATGATATGAGCTGGTGACTATGCAAACCATTAAGAGCTGTGTGGTGCAAAGGGTTTAGTCTGCAGCTGAAGGCGGATTCCCATCCAGGGAGCTGACCAACGTGGTGCAGCAGACCTCTCCTATCTGGTAGGCTGCTCCCCTCAGCAGTGTATTTCAGCAGATCCGCCTGTTCTGCTCCCCACTCTGTCTCTGGTAAACCCTCCTGGCCCCTCTTAACCTACACCCCAGCTCCTGTATGTATAAATAAATCTTTTTTAAAAATTTAAGAGCTGTGCCTGACAATGCTACAGGAAGCAGCTCTTTCTAGAAGTGGACAGACAATCTGGATTGTTCTGCTATGGAAGGATACAGTATCCAGTTACTTGATTCCTTGAATCCATAAGATAAAGGAAGTTACTTGTGTTTTTTTCCCCCAGAAATACTATAGCTGCTGCCAGTTGTGAAATACCAGTTTTTTATTGAATCTTTATGTAAAAGACACTAGTAAGCAAGCACCCATGTGGGCGCTACTCTTCATCGAAACATTTTGTTTCAGTGGAGCCTGTCTTAGGTCCTTGTGCTACTAGCTGGTTTGGGGCCCTTCATTAGGAGCCT